GTTTATTATTTTCTTAATTTATATTGAAAGGTATCAACTGATAAAACAAACATTCAGACAACTCTTTCACAAGAACATTGGCGGCGCCAGTGGGGGGGAATTTGCTAGCATCCCACTTTGGTTTCAACAAATCTAAATGTCTACCTTTTTTCTCTAAAATATATGTCAGAATGCACAAAATCAATTTCCTTGAGAGAACCCTCTAAGACGCTCTATGAGAGGCTTGCGACTATGACACCACCAAAGAGTAGTCAAAATTTGAATTCAACCTCAGCAGTTGTCCCCCATTGAGTCAGTCTGCCCCCTATTTGTACCCCCTGGCACCGCCACTGCACAAGAACTTTTCAACTAACCTAGACCTCATATTTGTTCTGTTAAATTTAGTTTTTCACGCTTAGCTATGCTAATTTACTTTTTAGTTTCAATACTAACATTGTCATTTGATTTGTTTGGCTTATTTGACAAGATACCTACTCACCTTTCCTAATATCTTTGATTCAACATGAATTACTGGTAACCTTTTTCACTCATGTTAGTGATTGAAGCCCTGAGTTGCTGACACGGAAAACTTATCTCTCTGATAGAACAATAAACCATTAAACCCCTTGTTACATACAGGTTGTAGGGCCCTACACATGAAAGATCCCAGGACAGTTTGCAATAACAAACAAAGAAGGCCAATCCAAAAATTGTTCTCATTGCACACTGCATGGCTTTGCTCATTTTCATAGCCAAAGAAGATGCTAACATTAGTCCCTGCCTTGTAAATGACTGACATGTCAATCAACAAGCAGCCATTGTTATCCCACTGATCTACTTGTAGTATTTCTATTCCTCTCACATTTTCATTTCTTCTGTTAATTAATTAATTTTCCTGTTTTATGTAAGATAAAAGAGAATTTTAGATTCCAATTGTACTGGATTCTTTCAAGTCAATCTATTTCTTGCATGATTCAAATAACAACAGTCTCCTGCAGACTGATTCAAATATTGGGGCTAGTTTCAAAATACATTCAATTTTCTTTTGGCAATTCAATAATCAATTTGTATTCCATCTTTTGATGGAAATGCAAACCATCAGTAACCTATTGACTTGTCAAACTTTGTATGTCCTAAAAAAAAAAAAAAAATTCATTGCAAAGAGTATGAGGCCTGCATTCCTATACTCAAAACTTTCTTGATTTAGAATTCTAATATCAAATCAGTTAAAGAGATTGTAAAGAGGTTTTCTAAACTTTTTATGTGTATCGGGGACACTGATAGGATTGATTTGCATCATTCCAAATTTTCATTCTGACTTCTGTGGTTCGTGCAATTCCACTAAAACTAACTAAGAAAACCTCTTTACAATCCCTTTAAGGCCTAGACCTAGGCTACTATATTTTCAAAATTGTTTATTTAGGCAAGCCCTTTTCCTGGGGCGGGTTTAATTTCGCTATTTCAAAAAATTAACCCCTGATCTAGTGTCTCAGATCTTAGTTTTTTTTCATGATTTTGTTGATGGTATAAAACTTTGATTGTCCCAATATTTTTCATCAATGATTGTTTTGTATTTTTTCAGTTTCACCGTATGCTATTGGAGCTCTAGTCAGTGCAGGTCTTGCTGTTTTACTCATCATCATATTTGTAATCATAGCCATGAGAATGAAGGTAGGTTGTTAAATAGAGTTATTTCCCTTTGAAATGTTTTAATGGAGTTATTTCTCTTTGAAATGTAAAATAGAGTTATTTCCCTTTGACATATTAAGAGTTACTTCCCTTGATATATTGACAGAATTATTTCCCTTAGTGCATCGAAATGAAGTTATGTCCCTTTGACATATTCAAATGAAGTAACTTCTCTTTGAAATTTTCTTAATATGTCATCTCATTTCTTTAAGATATGAGGATGTATTTTGATTTGTTTTCAATTTTTTTTTATGCATGATGTGAGATTCAAAGTGACAATTTTAACAATATTTTAGCCTACTTCTTCAGGCTATTGATTTTGAAAAGAATTTCAGCTAGTCTCTGAGTAAAACTTGGTTTTTCTGTTCATTTAAGTCATATTTCACAATTTTGTGTCATAAATTATGCAAATCAATCTGCAAAGAATTTGATGTTTTTATTTTGCAAAAATAGTCTTTGGATTTTCATGCCCACATGTGTCACTTTTTACATCTTATCAAAAAAATAATAAATTTATATTTTGCTCCATCATTTTGTTCTAGATGTGTATCACAAAACTCCCTCTTCATTATAACAATAATAATAATATACATCGTGGGGTATGCTCTATTTTTTATTTGTATTATAGCTTCTGCTTGTATTCAGCCCCTTATTTATCGCAATGAACATTACATCCTCTTTGGTGGCTCCTTTTTAAAAAATTTATGCAATATTTGTCAGTGAGTGTGCTTTTATCATAGGCTAACATTCACACTGGTAGAAATTTGTATGAATTTTTCAGAAATGAATCCCTTGTGTATCTAGTTTTTCAAAATCTTTATGCATAGGGCTAGTGAATATTATTGCTTTTAAAATTTTCATAAAAGGCTCTAGCCTACTTGAAAATTTAGATTCCAATGTTGTCCTATTTCTGCTTTGAAGTGAATTTTATTCCTGGAAACTTTAATTAAACGGCTAAACAATTCACAGATTTTGCTCTTTTTTGCTTAAACTGTAGAAGATTTTCGATCTTTAAAAATTAGAATTTTACTGCTAAATTGCATTTTTGCTTTAACTGTATAAGCTTTAGGATTTTGAAGGACTAGTATACCATATATTTACCTCGGGTGTAAGGATCTGAAAACCCTATAAAACTCCTGTGTTATATGGGAACCTGGTGTGGATCATCTATGAAGAAGGTATATATGATATCACTTGGAATTGGTGCAATGCATTATTCTTGTACGATTGCGCTGAATACTTGCTGACTCTCTTTTACTGCGCATGTTTTATATTTATTTACAACATTATTCATTTTAAAAGGCATATTTTATAAATTCTAACCTCTTCAGATGAGAAACAAATCCAGCCAAAATATATTATTGGTATAGACTCACCTATGATATAGGCTTGATATTTTGGCATAAACTGCTAGTTTGAATTGGTTTAAAATTCATTAGATATGCCTTTATAAATACATTACAAATTGAAAACTGTTTGACTAAAACATTGAATAATAATCAGCATGTAAGGTATTAAGGGAAATGTTATACTGACAATAAATGCATGTGCAGTTTGTTTGATTGACTGCTAACAAATACAGTTTACAGGTGCATTGTTATGACTCTTAATAAACTGTTTGATTGGAAAGGATCATAGTAACTTTTGTTGAAGTTGAAGAGAGTATCAGACAAATATAAAGTGGCCCTCACACTATAGCTAGCAACTGAGTTGTGGGTTGCTTTCTGAACTCATGACCAACCATACACAACTTTTAATTATTTTTGGTGTGAGTGCACTTTAAGAGAATTGCCATAGTAAATCTAAAAGAGTCGCATGCTGGCATAGAAGATGTTCAACCAAAAACATATGTTCCATTAAATAGTTCAATGATACAGCTTCAAGAAAATAATTCTCGTACCCAATCCCAACTTTCTTCAAACTTTTACCCATTCCAAACCTTTAGTTCTTGATCTATGCATTTAAACCAATCCCTCTTCCTATATCAGCCGATAAAATTACTCTGTGATCGCAACTTGTTCTGATGTAATTCATGATGTAAGTTCTCTTTTCTTGAGCAAAACCAATAGCTTTGATAAGGTGCAAGTAAACTATGAATAAAACTAAAAATTCACACTTATAGTCAATTAATGCCTTTGTTTACTTGTACAAAAATGTCAAAATGAAGTTCAATCTTTTTCTTAATTATTTTTTATCATTTTGACCTGATTTTTAATATTCATTTCTATTTTATTTCAAAACATACTTTTTTTATATTTCTTGTTATTCAAATTATTTTTTTCATTATGACAAAATTTCCAAATTATATTTCTAAAGCCAGACCTTTATCTCAAGCTTTAACCCTCTGTACTCCACATCTCAACTTAACGCTTTCTTACCACCTTTACTCTTCCAGAAAAAAGAACATAAAATGCGTGAAAAGATGGCTCGTTCTCACGATGAGACGTTAGATGACCAGGAGGTGGAGCTACTGGATGAAAGCGTACAGCTCCAGTCTGAATACAGGGTGCGTAGTGCGTTGTACATTGTTGTACATTGTTGTACATTGTAGTACATTGTTGTCGTAGTTGCTAGTATCTGAAAATTGTTGCTTTTACTGCATGAACACATTTCTATTTATAAAGGGATAGATTCACTATTTCTGTGGGTTAATTTGGGTCTTGAATATATGTTAATAGTCTTAGGAAGTATAATCTCATAATTCCTTTAAACATACCTCAAACTACTAAGTTTACTTTATCTTTCTATATGAGGCAGAGTCTCAAGAAAAGAAGAGTCGTCATTTTAACATGATCATGATTCACCATATATACGAGTCGAAGCCAGAGCCAGAATTGCATTGTAGCTTATTATTTTCATTTTTATTTCTCCAAGCCGAGTTCTCTTTCCTGCTTGTTTTAGTTTGCAAAAATCTGTTTATAATTTTAGAATCCTTTTTGTTTTGTTTTGTTTTTTCATACACAAGCATGTGAGCTTATTTTGCATTCCCAAAAGCTTTCTTTACAGATCAAAAATCATTATTTAAAAGTTTAAAGTATGTTTTCAATCAAAGAATTACTAGTACATTTTTTAAAAGCTTTTCAAAACTTATTGTTCATTTATAAATTAATTGATATGAATTCTGGACTATTATTTAATGTTAGATTGTGAACATGGTTTCTAAAAAACAATGGCTTAGGTCACAAAGTAAAGATTTATGCTAAAATAAGCAAAATTTCTAAATTTGAAGTTAAAAATATAAATTTGGGTTTCAATTAATTTTTCTGTCTAATTTGAACGTTATTCCATATTCATCATTGAATTTGTAGCCAACAGAATATAGCAAATTACGAATGAGCTGGGAAGTACCGAGACGAGATATCCGATTGGTTGAACAGATTGGTAAAGGATCATACGTTGAGATCTGGAAAGGACGAATCAGAAAGTCGCCCAATACTAATGAAATTGTTCGAGTCTGTATCAAAAAGCTGAACAGTAAGTACTGGTTTGGGGTTTGAAATTTCCAAAGAAATGTTAAAAAAGCCTTGGACAGTGTTTCCATGAATAAGCTTGGAAAGTATGGAAATATCAGTGTTGTGGATTGGCTGGATTTCCAAAACGTTGGCTGTTGCTTGGATTTCCCTTGGAAAAGGAAGATTCTTATGCCTTGGACAGTGCTTCCAAGAGCCAGCTTTCAACATCTTCTCCCAATATGCAGAATGAAATGCTGAAACTAATTGAGAGTTTGTTAATAGGCCCCTGATTTTTGTAAAATATTTTTTTATGTGCAAATTCCTCAAGTCTACAAGATATACAAAGATAACTTAGAAACCTAGATATTAGTTTCCCTAGGAAATGTTTTTCAAAAGCTGAGTCTAGGTCCTTAATACATACTACAGAAAAAAGGGCAGCCACCAATTGTTTTCCTTACGAATTTGCTTCTCGGAGCAGATGTTAACCATTTTTGACTGAAATGGTGGCACTGGTTAAATGGTAATTCCATGGACTGTTGTACCTACAAAAAATAACAGTTCATAGTTATATTCTTTTTATTAAAAAAATGATCACACCATTTCAGATGAAGCCAGTGAAAAAGAGAAAAGATTTTTTGTATCAGAGTTAGAAGTATTAAAAATGATCAAAACTCATACCAATGTCATCAGACTGGCTGGTAGTTATACTGCTAATGGTAAGTGAGTCAGTCACAAGAGTTACCTCCCTTTGATTTGTTGCCATGGTTCAGACCAGTAGGCCATCTCTTACATATCACTTTCTCACCCCCAAAATGGCATAAAACCTGCTGGAAGTTACACTGCTAACTGAAAGTGAGACAGTCACAAGAGTTTCTCCCCTTTTACATGTTCTAACCCGTACCACCCTATTTCTGTCCACTGGTCCCCCTCCCATCAACCAAAAGTCATGAGACTCACTGGAATTGATACAGTTGTGAGTCAGTCACAAGAGTTTTCCCCCTTTGGTTTTTTTTTCCAAGGTTCTGGCCTGCATCGCCCTATTTCTATCCCCTCCCAACAATAAGTTACATTGCCAACGATAAATGAGTCAGTCAGAAGAGTTTCCTCCCTTTGTTTTGTTGCTAGGGTTCTGATCAGGATTGCCCTGTTTCTCTCTCAACCCAAAACTGTAATCCAACTAGCTGGATGCTACAATGCTAACATCAATGTACTTGTTGCAATCACAAGAGTTGTACCCCTTGGTTTGTTTTGTTGAATCTCAAAGTCCAAACTTGCAGTCTTGATGAGGATTCTATATCAGAAACTTGTGTCAGCAGTAGGGGATGAGCTCTTATCAAGTAGAATAAAGGTCTTAACTTAGTATTTTGTTCTTTATGAACAATGGGGCAAAATTGCTGAAATGGCCCTCATGTGGACCCCAAAGCTTTGATATGTGTCTTTTTCATTCTACCTCCCATATATTACAGATCCATTCTTGTTTATTATTACTAAATTTACCAGTTATGTCCATTTTGATTTTCAACAAGTAGGACTTTTGTATAGTGTTTTTTAAACTGTGATATTTATATTTATAGAACCATGGTTAATGATGTTGGAACTGGCCACAGAGGGAACATTACAAGAGTTCCTACTACAGTTCCGCCCTGGACATCATGTAGTTATCAAACGAGGGGAGAGTGAGGGGGGTGTACGTCTTCGATCTCAATCACTGTCAGCCCATAAGTTACTAGCATTAACGGCCCAGACAGCCAGTGGTCTGGCTCATCTTAAAAAATTTAAAGTAAGTTGACTTTTGTATTGACTTTTGACCTTTGTATTGACTTTTGACCTTTGTATTGACTTTTGACCTATGTATTGACCTTTGTATTGACTTATCACTTACTCTTTTCGAAACACTTGATGTTATTATTACTCCTGATTTTGTCATGCTTTGGACGAGATATTTGGTTACTGGAATTGTTTTGTACGGAATTTTATTGTATTGGCTTCTTCCAAAACGACATTGTTAAATGCCAACCACTATGTGTTCACCCCAAAAATTTCCCTCATAGCATACTGCATGGTGTTGCTTGCCTTCATTAGCCTCATTAGATACAGGTGCAATAAACTGAGCCACAACCAGTCCTAAAAAAATCCTCTGTATTTGGCTTATATTTTCAGTTGATATACTATCGCCTACGATCGGCTAGTGTACTATGTAGTAAAGGTGGTATTTGTAAATTGTCAGGATTTGGGTTCGCTCAAGATATCACCGACAGAAATATGTACGAACCAGTAAGTTTTTTTTTTTATTTTAAACCAGACAAATTTTATTATTGTGTTTAATGGATCCTCCTACCTCAATTAACTAGAAATCAGGGAAAAAAGGGCACCAAAATCAAGGTTTTTTTCTCTCCTGCCCTTCACACAAATTTGTTCAGTTTTTTCCCCTCATGTCTTAACAGATTTTTCAAGAAAAAATCCAAGAAACAAGAAAATGAATTGATCTGGCCTTAGCTATATTTCCTCACATCCTGAAGACTGAATATTAAACACTCCTAGGCTTCCATCCTTGGCAGATATTCACTTTAAAGATACCTTGTCCTTAACTATATCAAATTATAAGAGTTAATGCTAATTCTGCTGTCCATGCAAAGTTCTGTAAATAATGTAAAACTCCATTTCATTTCAATTTCATTTTTTAAGGCATCAGCACCCACTAGATGGATGTCCCCAGAATCTCTGGTAGAAAATATCTACAATATCCAAACTGATATCTGGTCATTTGGTATCCTGATCTGGGAAATATTCCATTTTGGTAAGTAAAAGATATAAACTTAGTCCACAAGGATCCTTATTACCAGCAAGGCTTGTAGTTACAAGGGGGCAAGGGGGTGGGGGCAAAAACAATTCTGACAACTGACCAATTCCATTATTGCAACTAAACACCATACACCATTACCCCTATGGATATACTTGTCCCTCTGAACAATCAAGTTACCTGTTACCAGCTTGTCTTTGGCCGAACTTCTTGACAATAGTTCGATAAGGATAAAAAACTTTGATTCACAAGAATCCTTTCTACCGGCTTGTTTGTGGCCAAACTTCTGAGCATTGATCTTTCCTGGATTTTCCTAACTTATTTGAAACTAAGTTGACTGGAATGATGCTGACAATTTTGAACAAATAAGAATTGAAAAATTCATAAAAATAAAATGAAAACTGGAAATGAGCTCAGAATGATAAAAGTAAAACTGAAAAAAAAAAACTGAAATCGTCTAGTTTAAAATCTTAACCAATGGACTTATTTTTTTCTCCTATTTTCGTGGAAAACTGGAAATGATATCATAATAATTATAGAAAATTTCAGAAAAATAACCCAATTCACAGTGTCATTATGACACATTTATTTGAAATATTGCCAGTTTTCATTTCCTGAGGTGGTCTACTAGGATGAATACTGATTTAATTTGAATTTAGTTAGGAAATATCTCTATAGCTGATATCCTGTATAGTATCCTGTAAAGTTATATTTAGTATCTAACATTGTCATAATTCTTTCTGATATATGATAAACAGAATTTTGAGTAATTCAAGTCTGTTATGGTGTATAGACTACATATAGCAGGGCTGTTGATGTGGCGCCATTTGCCGGACATGACCGACGAAGCAGCTAAAATGACCGACAGTCAATATCCTCTATCAGGTATAGGTTAGCCATTATATGGCATTCAATATCTGTAAAATGCAAAATTTAATGACAACTCTCTATTGAAATATAAAGCCATCACTCACTACTTGGTATTACAACAACTTGATAATCTGATAATCTCTTAATTAGATTCATAAAGCTGAAATCTAGCCATCAGATCCCCTCTAAACTGGGGAAGCCTCCTGACCGATTCACTATATAATCTGTAGAAGGAAAACTTCAATAAGCCAGCACCCCCTCTTTACTAAAGCCAGGACCCTCAATTCTTTCTGATAAATGATAACTAGTATCTTCAGTAATTCAAATCTTATTATAGTTTTATATTTGATATAGACATAGCTTTATGGAACAACAATGTTGAAATGTTGTATAAAACTATATTTAGTGATATTCTTCCTTAAAGCTATGATATACAATAATAACATATTTTCACTGTTAAAATACATTAAGTGTACTGTTAAAATAGTACTCAATACATCAATTGTAGAGTGATATAGAAATAGCACTGTTAAAATAGTACTCAATACATCAATTGTAGAGCGATATAGAAATAGCACTGTTAAAATAGTGCTCAATACATCAATTGTAGAGTGATATAGAAATACCACTGTTAAAATAGTGCTCAATACATCAATTGTAGAGTGATATAGAAATACCACTGTTAAAATAGTGCTCAATACATCAATTGTAGAGTGATATAGAAATACCACTGTTAAAATAGTGCTCAATACATCAATTGTAGAGTGATATAGAAATACCACTGTTAAAATAGAGCTCAATACATCAATTGTAGAGGGATATAGAAATACCACTGTTAAAATAGAGCTCAATACATCAATTGTAGAGTGATATAGAAATACCACTGTTAAAATAGAGCTCAATACATCAATTGTAGAGGGATATAGAAATACCACTGTTAAAATAGAGCTCAATACATCAATTGTAGAGTGATATAGAAATACTACTGTTAAAATAGAGCTCAATACATCAATTGTAGAGTGATACAGAAATACCACTGTTAAAATATTGCTCAATACATCAATTGTAGAGCGATATAGAAATACCACTGTTAAAACAGTGCTCAATACAGCAATTGTAGAGTGATATAGAAATACTACTGTTAAAATACTGCTCAATACATCAATTGTAGAGTGATATAGAAATACCACAGTTAAAATAGTTCTCAATACATCAATTGTAGAGTGATATAGAAATACCACTGTTTAAATAGAGCTCAATACACCAATTGTGGAGCGATATAGAAATACCACTGTTTAAATAGAGCTTAATACATCAATTGTAGAGCGATATAGAAATACCACTGTTAAAACACTGCTCAATACATCAATTGTAGAGTGATATAGAAATACCACAGTTAAAATAGTTCTCAATACATCAATTGTAGAGCGATATAGAAATACCACTGTTTAAATAGAGCTCAATACATTAATTGTAGAGCGATATAGAAATACCACTGTTAAAATAGTTCTCAATACATCAATTGTGGAGCGATATAGAAATACCACTGTTAAAATAGAGCTCAATACATCAATTGTAGAGCGATATAGAAATACCACTGTTAAAACACTGCTCAATACATCAATTGTAGAGTGATATAGAAATACCATTGTTAACATAGTGCTCAATATATCAATTGTAAAGTGATATAGAAATACCACTGTTAAAATAGTGCTCAATATATCAATTGTAAAGTGATATAGAAATACCACTGTTAAAATAGAGCTCAATATATCAATTGTAGAGCGATATAGAAATACCACTGTTAAAACACTGCTCAATACATCAATTGTAGAGCGATATAGAAATACCACTGTTAAAACACTGCTCAATACATCAATTGTAAAGTGATATAGAAATACCACTGTTAGAATAGTACTCAATACATCAATTGTAGAGCGATATAGAAATACCACTGTTAAAATAGTTCTCAATACATCAATTGTGGAGCGATATAGAAATACCACTGTTAAAATAGAGCTCAATACATCAATTGTAGAGCGATATAGAAATACCACTGTTAAAACACTGCTCAATACATCAATTGTAGAGTGATATAGAAATACCACAGTTAAAATAGTTCTCAATACATCAATTGTAGAGCGATATAGAAATACCACTGTTAAAATAGTGCTCAATACATCAATTGTAGAGTGATATAGAAATACCACTGTGAAGATAGTGCTCAAATACATCAATTGTAGAGTGATATAGAAATACCACTGTGGAGATAGTGCTCAAATACATCAATTGTAGAGTGATATAGAAATACCACTGTGAAGATAATGCTCAATACATCAATTGTAGGGCGATGTAGAAATACCACTGTTAAAATAGAGCTCAATACATCAATTGTAGGGCGATAAGACTCCAGTCAGAAACTAAGGGGGAGGGGACATGTCAGTTCCCTCAATATCAACCAATTTTTAGTTTACTAACACAACATATTTTTCATATTTTCAGGCATAACGCCCTACCCTAGTATGGGACCCCAAGAAGTTTTAGAAAAAGTCCATTCTGGATATAGAATGCCAAGACCAAATCATATGAGTCCTGAATTGTAAGTATGACTTATGTGCAACTTCCAGTCATTTCTGATGATGTCATGATTCAGATTTTGATTCTGAAAAGGGATACAGATAGCTGAAATTGAGCTCTGTTGGTTGGATTCTTATTAAAAAGAAGACATTAGGTGACTTTTAGTTCTATCATCTGGTTAAACAAGTATTCACATGACAATATCACATGACAGACTAAAGTAAAAACGATCCAAACTGTAACCTGAAACACGAAATCCAAACAACATGTTGGCGAATCATTGGTAGCAGCTAATGATCTTTTGACATGAGGAAGTATATCAATTATAAGTGAGTAAGTATTTCATACTGAAAAGTGATATCAGGTGTCTAGAAGGGTAAGCAAACCCTGCCTGGTGTTCGGCAGAATATGATAAGAAAACTTTTCATTGTGAACATTGTGTTTTTTTCTTTTCAGATATCATGTGATGTTGTCGTGTTGGAATTCAAATCCTGATGATCGTCCTGGTTACGAATATATCCTAGATAGACTTACAGTCATGGCGTCCAATCATGCGGCCCATATTTTCATGGAAAAATTACCAGAATTCGTGAAAGCTGGTGATGGCTTAGACATCATGTCTTGAATACTTTTATCCCATGACTTTTAATCAAGTAGTATTTATTAGTGCAATCATGTGTGTAAATAGCTTTTCGTGTTCATTAGAAGCTGACTGTAGTTTCGAGTCTTTTGCTGATCAAAATATAACAGGGAGTGTGTTTGGAGAATTCAGGACATTTTGAAGGATATTGTATATCATTTATATAAGGAGTATTGACAATGGGATCCAGGAGTTTCAAGAGTATCCGAGAATCTTGTCTCTAAATGATACCAATGATTAAGGTGTGGGCCATTCGTCAACAAAATCAGTGTGTCTCTTTAATAGAATTAAGGAGTATTCTCAAAATTGTATGTAAGATTTATTCTTAGGAGGATTGTTAACAGGATCAAAGAGCCCTTTTCAACAGGATCAGGGACTAATTTCAACAGGATCAAGGACTATTGTCGGATGGGAGTAAAGGTCAAAGGTTTCAGGAAGTCTTTGTCAATAGGGTCAGGGAGTTTTGTCAACATGATCAGGGACAGATTTCAACAGGATCAAGGACTATTGTCAACAGGATCAAGGAGTCTTTTTCAACAGGATCAAGGATTGGTGTCAACAGTGTCAGAAGAGTTTTGTCTACAGGATCAAAAGTGATCCAAAATTAATGAAAAGCATGACAGTCCATATATATTTCCTGTGATACTAGCAGACAAGAAAGATTCGATTTCTAGATTTTGTGTAGATTACAAGGAAATTTTCTTAGGTATCTTCAAATATGTAACAATGAAATCTCAAACAGTTATCGATCGGCAATTGTGAAAGGAACCAATCTTTCAATTTTTACCATGCTAGATTTTCGAAGCAGATTTTGGCAAATAAATGTTACATTTTGATTTTAGAGACCAACAGAATAAGGATCAAGGAACAGCAAAAAATATTTACAACTTTTAAATGACACTTGTTTAGCTCATCTGCCAGTTAGAGATATGTAGCTTATTGAGCTCATGTGACTATCATAGTACAGATTTGTAAAAGGATAGAAAGTGTTTCATAAGCATGTTTTTAATAAGAAAGCTTCCCACTAAACTTTGTGATATGAAATGGCTTATCTTTTAGTCAGAGGAGAAAGCCATAGTGCTCTGAATCAAAAGGATCTAGAAGAAAAAAGTCTGAAGGATTCGGAAAACTTGAGAATCGGCTGCTGTTGATACAGAGTCATCAACAGCCATATGAATGGTTTTTTACGTGTGCTTCAGAGAATTCCAATGTTTGAGACACCTTTGAAATTCTGCTCCACTTTATTATGTATTCGTTTTAACAGCTATGCTGTGCTATAACTAGTGCTATGCCATTGTGAATTTATATGGTTCATTTCATTCCCAAATTATGGTCTTACACCAGACTGACCATGGACTATTTTGAGCTTATCACTAACGTATATTTGCGTGTATAATGCGCAAATTTTAATCTTAAAAAGGGCGCTGGTTAAACTCAGTGAGTATTGAATGGAAAGTGACAAAACGTATTTTAATGATCATATTTTGAGCTTAAACCATGCACTCTTTTGAGCTTATCAGTACTGTATATTTGGGAGTATAGTGCTCAGATTTTAATCAGCTCATTAAACCTGGAGTGCGGCGTCTCAGTGTGTAGTATAGACAGGGAGAACAAATATTTTAATGATCATATTTTGAGCTTAGAGCTTTTTAGGGCTTGTTAAACATTATACACATCTTATTTTAAGCTTATAGCATTATTTTTCTGTCCCTAGACAAAAATCAAGCAGAAATCCAGTCATTATAACCTCTGATATTACACGATGCTGGATATAGAGTAACCCGAGCAGAATAAGATGTTTCAGGGTTTTGCAGTTCGAATCATGCAATGAAAATTAAAATCCAAATTTTGTGCTTATCATAGATTCCAAAATTGTTGTCTCTTTGAAAGGTTCCAACGTAACTAATTCAAACGTTAAAAACTTATTGAGCTTTGCTTTAATTTCTAACGAACATTATTATCCATGTGGATTCTCCCAAATAGATACTGAGATAACAATTTCAAACGTCAAATACTTAAGGAGCTGTGTGAACTCTCACAAAGATTTGTTGAGATGACAATCTCAAATTACAAACGATCTTATGGACCATGTGGATTATCCAAATTGAATTTATTAAGCTTATTTTCCTCCCAACATCTCTATATCCAGCCTGAATTTTATCTTTTTTTTAATTACCTTTTTTAAATTTTGGAAGTAAATGATCTCAAATACTTTTATTTCTTTTGGATATTTTTTATTACATTTTCTCAATGTTTATAATCTTAAAGTCTAAAAGATTGGCAAGGGGTTTTCTGCAGGTTTTCTGAGTATCAGTGACAAAAAACACTTGATCGTGTTATGACGTCACTATTGAAAATACTTTTGAAGCTAAATGGTACTTGTAGTAGTGACGTCATAATCTACTAAAATTTTCCAGAATTATACAAAAATTACGGAAAATTTGAATGGTGCATGAAGAAGCTGTAAGTTGCCCAATACACATTTACTGAACAGAGAACTTCATACGAAACTCCGTAAGGTACGAACGTAGTTCACGGCCATTTTGAATCACTTCCTCGACTTAATAAGTCGAATTTCAATAAAAGATATTATTTAAAAACTGGGCATTTCAATCATAATTCAAGGCTTAGAAATGGCTTTAATTGTGATTTGAAGGCTTTTTAAAAATGAAATGGCCTTTTTAAACATTCGACTTATTAAGTTGAGGAAGAGATTCAAAATGTTTGTGAACTATGTTCGTGTGTGTTATTTCTATGTAAGAACTATACGCAGTTTCATATACAGAAAACCTCTTCCTAACCTTTTCATATATGTAGTCAATATTTTATTATTGCAATATTCAACATGATGAAGATTGTTTTGTGTTCTGTATGTGTCCCTGTGCTTTTATGTGTTATATTATCCTTTATTAAATGAACTAAAAAAAAAGATAAAAAAAATTTACAACGGGGGTAAAAATAACTGCTGTTTTTTTTTCATAACCTCGTTTCTTCTGCCAAATATTATGTGGCCCTCTAACATTCCAAATGAGTCTATGTATCTAGCTTCTTTCTTTATGCCTTTTTGTGTTTTCCATCTGTCCTCGCTGTAAAGCTATGCTCTTTTCTCTCTTTGTCTTATTGGTTTTCAGAATCAAAAACTGTGTTTACCTTTCATTTCTGTTATCTAGTTATTTGTACTCATTGTCATAGATTGTCCCACAGTGTTGTATGATTTTAAAAACCAATATCGTCTATATCTATATATATATATATTTCCATGCATCTTACTTCCCCAGCTTTACATATTTTCTTTCTATTATCGTGTTTTGTAAATTGAATTTATTTTAAAGGATTTTAAAGAGGTTTTTTTAAATTTTCATAGGGGACACTTCGCAAAAATTCAATCAGACATCTGCGCTCCTAGCAATTCAACTGTTTGATGACGTCACTAACCGCAAAATATGCTGGATCACATGTGGCCCTTCACGATTAGTGAGGTCATCAAACGCTTAGTTTTAGTAGAATTGCAGGAACCACAAATGTCTGATTAAAAATTAGAAAACCTTTTTAAAATAACATATTATATTTATGTCTAAGTAACTAGTTGTCTAGTATTTATAGGTTAATATTAGTTTTATAAGTAGATGTCAGGGTTTAGAGAGATTGGACTCACTCCAGCACCTGAGAGGAGGGGGGGGGGGGGGAGTTCCGCCAACATTATTCTATTACAATATTTCCTGCTAGTCCCATTGTAGAGAGGTCCGGGAATGTGACAAATTTTCCAAAATGTAACAAAGGTTGCATTGAATACGATGTTTTCATGGAATATCACCAATTAATATTTTATACAGAGGCAGGACTCAATCCAGCATGGTGGTGTATCTGCCAACATTATATTCTTACAACGTTTCCTAATATATGTATTCAACATCAAAGTAACCTTAATCCAGGCCGCTTATTCTCGAAACGATCTCGGCGCTAGGATGTACTAGGATCTTCTAACGTCTTACACTGTTTCTATGGTGCAGAAAAGTAGAACCTGAAAATCCATTAATTTCATTTAATTTCTAACACTGTTTGTGGGATATCCTAGTACAAAGATCGTTTCGAGAATACAGGGCCTGGCAAATCCTATAACTCCATTAATTTAGTGATATTTTCTCTGTTCTAGTCAGTGTATGATAACCTATTGTAATTATTATTATTATTATTATTATCTGTACCTTTTTCATTAATAATACCATTTCAATACCACTTGTAGTTTTATTTTCGTATTGTGACCAAGACCTGGGATCAAAGCGTCTTTAAGAGATTATAAAGAATCTCATATATTGATCACGTTAGGCCCTTCGCGATCAGTGACGTCATCACACACTAGTTTTAGTGCAATCGCAGGAACCACACACGTCTGATTTAGAATTGGAATAGGGCAAATTGATGCTATCAATGTCCTCGATACACACACAAAATTTTTTTAGAAAACCTCTTTACAATCACTTTATTTTTGCAATGCAAGTTAACTCTATAGGGTAAAATTTGTCTATTTATTTGTATTCAGTAATACGCAATAACTTCAATATATATATATATATATATATAAAATTAGGACTAAGACCTCTTAATTTTGTAACGCAGGCTGTATCCATTTATGTACATTAACTAGTATTAACACCTTAAAAAATATAACAAACACAGAAATATAATTAATTTTAGGCTTGCATGCAAAACAGGCACCAGTTATTATGCTAAACAATATAAAACAAGTTACATAGAGGATTTGACGTTATAATTTTTTCCAGCATTGCTACTTGTGATGAAAACCAACAAAAATTCTCCAAATTGCCTTTCGACTTTTTCATTTATGATTTGTCAGTATAAATTCTTTAAACTCGGCTTATAGAATAACTTCAAGGTAGCTCACACAATCAAGTTTTGCGTTAAGATAGCGATCAATTTACAGCACAACTCAAAAGACGTTTGGGTTTTTGCCATGGAATAGCACCGACAAACACATCACAAAAAATAATTGTGAATATGGAATCTAGATAGACCAAATAAATCATAGCAAATAAGCATTTATGAAAATGTAATTAAAATCCCATTTCACTGTCCATCTATACCTTTACAAGTTAGCAAACACATTCCCTGTGTTAGAGTCGGAAACCGGGTATTATCAATTCGCAGATTTATCCACTACTCCGTACACTTTATCAGCATCAAAATTCGGGTTGCTTTTTCCGGCCTCATCACCTCCATAAGGGTCCTTAGAATTAGCAACGGAATTCTTACAAACAACTCCATAAACCTTACTGGCATCAAAATTAGGGTTGGAACTTTCTGGTACACTATCAACCTGAAGAGTTTCATGAAGGCTAACGAAATCCTCATCGCGAACATTCCAATCATATTTTGGTGGTGGTAGTTTATCAACTTTAACGTAAGTACCATCATCTTGAAATCTCATTGGTTCTCGTGCTATTGGTCTTGTTGACCCTATAATTAATATAAATAGCAGACCATGCTTACTCTTTTCGATACACCTGATGGTACTTCTCTTTGGAAGAGTCTACTACTACACATCTTTTACTCTCGATTTTGCCATACTTTGAGCGAGATTTTGATGAAAGGAATTGTCTTGAACATACTTTTTTTTTATATAAAAATCAGTACACACAAGACAATTCCGTTAAACAAAGTCCAGTCCAAAGTATGGCAAAATTGGAAGTAATAGTTATATTGGAGTGTACTCTTCAAACAAGAAGTATAATATAATAACATACATTGAACATTAATGAAATTAATTTTTTGACCTTTTGTACCCTCTCCAGCACATTCGGCAATTGTCGGCTGAATCTGACTCGGTAATGAATGGTTAATTCCGTTGTGTCTTCTTGGGCGAGACTCTTTACTTCCGGTATTTGGCAGTGATTTGTCTATTGATAGTAATATTGCGACCTAAATATAGTCCTTAAATTTAGATACTTTGGGAGATAATTCTGACACTAACATAATATGTATTTAATGATAAATTTTGACAATTGGTTATCCAATGATACATTTTATTATCAGTTTGAATACATATCTAACGATGTTTTGTTTTCATTGACTTTGTTTACAAACACCTGTAGTCGCGAACAACCTGCCTCTAATATTTGAATTACCAGAATCACGTGATCACGTGACAACATTGACATAGTTCTGGTAAATAAAAATGGCCATTCATTACCGTGATATGTTGGAGAGCGCTAGCGTTACTTCCACGGAGGCCGTTTGTCTCCAGCACTGACATAGCTGATAATGTTTATTAGGCGTTCATGTAACTTTTATGTTTTTTCAATGCAACCTTTCAATATACCTAATAAAGATATTAGTTATGTGAACTCTCTGAAAGGTTTGTCTCGCAAAACTTATATTGTTAATTTTTACAAGGCTAGGATATTTCCCTCAAATTTTAACAAATCGAATATCATTTGAAGAGGTACTTCAACTTCACTAAATAACTGGAAATATTTCACGTATTGAAGTATCATAATTTAGACAGAGAGACATACTTCCTTGTGCAACATTACTACATATTTTAGCGATCCCAGAGAATAATTTTTACTCGAATTGTACCCTGTGAGATTTCAAATACTATTTTTTATTCCCCAAATAATATGTGTCATTCTGCCTCTTATTTGTGAGGCTGTCACCGCCCACCGCCATCAATGATCAAACCTATTCGCATATTGCATCATCTTAACCTTTCCTGTATTATTGAAGTTTGTAAATGAAACGATTTGATTGGATTGTACGCAATGGAATACAGCCAATCAGAGGCATCGAAAAAAGTCTGTGACCACAGAGCCATAATCTTTACAGCATTTCTGTCGAGGGCTTTTCTTGGCTGTATTTGCTTGCGCACAATCCAGTATGAAGTTCGTAATAGCTTGACATTGTGAAGATTAGATTACATGGGTCTTCTCTACATGCTGATCGCCAAATATCTTTATAATAAAAATATTTTCAGGAGACTATTTGATATGGTTACTAACCTAGCTTAGCCAGATCTTTTTTTCGTTTATTATACACAAACATCACGGCGATCACGGTGATTACCAAAACACAAACAACCACAGAACAGACAATAGCTATTAGAATGATGTTTGGTTGCTTGTCGACATTATTGGTGCTAGAGACTGGTGGCTGACCGGGAGGTGAACTGGAGGATGACTGGCGTGGAGGTTGTGTTGGAGATGCTGTTTTATCATGATGAGTTGTTGTTCTTCGTGGATCTGAAATAGATCATACAAGGCATTATGAACTATATAACTTAATTTAGTTCTTGAAAAAAGAGGAGTTTTACACCTGTCTTTTTAGAACTGATTGATCAAACGACTTCACAACGCCATGTTGTGATAAAATTGATCACATTCGTACAGACCGACGGAAAAGTGTAAGGAAAAGTTACATTATAGACTCAAGGGAGATTATTTTATCAAGCGCATATAACATTATGTAAGAATCCACAAAGCAATTTTCACAATATCAAGCTTGTTCGGACTTCTTCTCATATGAAATTTGTAAAAGCTTGATAGTGTGAAGATGCCATAAGGCCTCCGACGCTGTTTGTTTTCCAGATTTTGCAACACAATAAGTTAAGACTTTACGGCCTCGAAAACACAAGAAGTGCACCTTGGAACACTATCTTTTGAACATTTCAGGAAGATGGGATCTTTATTTTATTGGATTATTTTGTTACAATTTTAGATATAGTCTACTGACCAGAATTCCTAACTGTGATATTAACACTGGAATATATCCTGTCATCTTTAGGATGAACACAATCCCACTGTGCTGTAGTTGGATATTTCTCACCATGAAGAACAGTTAATGTTAGTTCATATCTAGGGTAAGCAGATGTTGGTATACATTCGTAGTCATTTTCATTAACACCAGTTTCAAATTGGCATTTTCTCTCGAACCTTTGAACAATATTCGTGTGGTTCTTTGTTAAGTTAAAGCTATTGTATGAAGTAGAATAACAAGTGATGGTGTAGGGCTCATTGGGTAATACACTGGTAGCATTAGTCCTGATAACAAATTTATTTTCTAAAATAAACAAAATATAGAAGGAATGTTTAGTAAACTAATAAAGAAATCAAAAATTAGATATATTATATATTCTATCGAAAGCCTAACTGACTTCAAAGAAAGCAGTATTGTTGCCTCATAAAAATTACCCTGTTACGATCCTATAGAGATCTTTTCTTACAGCATCTGGGATCTTATTTAGTTTTGTCATCTCATTATTGCCTTCAGAGGGTTCACAAAGCTAAAATGTTTATTTGGCATATGGGTTTGTCAACTTGACATGCATTTTGTAGAATCAACATTGGAAATAGATCCTATTATTATATTTATGAAAAAGCGAACAATAACATACCAAACTGTGTTTCACCACCCTGTATCCAGAAAATAACCAGAAAATAAACAAGAAAACAAAAATACATCATTTTTTTGATCTGTTGTCAGCTACACGATTCAAATCTAAATAATGATTATTATATATAATTTACATCTCTAGTGTATGTCATAGAGAAACAGAAAGTCGACGATATATATATATATATATAAGATTTGAATCAGGAAGTTAAGATTACATTAAAGGGACAGATTTGCCATTTTCGGATTTGGGTCTTAAATATATGTAAATAGTCTTCAGAAGTACTAGAATGTACGAAAATCGCATAATTCCATCAAATATACCTCAAACTAGCATTTTTGCTTTCTATTTTTATATATGTCTTTTTCCATATAAGGTATCGTTTAAAGAAAAGACGAGTCGACATTTTAACTTTCAAACTTGGATAATTCTGGACACACATGGATTTGAAGACTCGAATTTCGGCGGTGAACTGTTAATACAATTACTGATTAGCTCAGCTAAAAAAAATCCGTTTCTGAGATTATGGTATGATTGGTCAAAATAGAAATGGCGAACTCGTCCCTTTAAGAAGATTTCCTGATTCAAAATAGAAATATACGTCACATGTTTTGAATTATTAGGACATACTCGTTCATGATCAACATTTTGATGATTCTTTGACTTTTAAAAGACCAATTGCTGACTTTCAACTGATAATACCGGTTGCGTTCGGTGTAACAGTTGGGACCTGTGAGATAACCGTGAGAGAAAGTTGCAAGTGATGCACGGGAAAATTAAAATGCACGTGCAAAATGTGCCAGGGTTCTGTATAAAAACTACCTGACACCTACTGGGAATTCAGTTGGTTTGGGATGACAGCGATCATGGTACATCTACCCTCTCAACAACGTTTACAAGCCATCAGACGCATCGGACGCGGGACAACGTAGCCAAATCATTGCCAATGCTTTCAACTTAAGTGTAAAAAACCATTGAAAGACTTTGAATTCGTTACAACACCACCAACAGCGTTAATGGTCTCAACACGGTGGTCGTCCTCGTGTTACAACACCAAGACATGATCGCCTCACCCTGCGGCAATATTTGCGTGACTCACCACAGGAGCACAGACAATTCGTCAGACCAGTGGCCACTGTTCGAAATCGGCTAGCCTCCCAGAACCTATCTGGTCGCCGTCCATACAAGGGTTTCAGTGCTCACGTCAGCAACATCTTGAGTGAGCCACCCAAAAACAATATTGGAGGCATCAGCTTGGAAATAATACACACCAACGTAGTTCACAACCTTCAAATCATAAGTAAAGGTTTAGAAATGACTTTAAATATGATTTGAGGGCTTAGTTGGAATATTGTTGCCTTTTTAAAAATTCGACTTATTAAGTCGAGGAAGAGATTCAAAATGGCTGTGAACTACGTTCGTGTGTGTTATTTCTATGTAAGAACCATACGTAGTTTCAATTGGACCCATGTGTTCTTAGAGGAGAGTCGGTACTGCATTTTCACCGCAAATGACAAAGTGCAGATGTGGCGAAGAACGTTTAACAGAACAGTGTGTGGTTGAAAGTGACTCATTGGGAAGTACCTAGCATGACGGTATGGGGTACACCCGGCATCAATCAGAAACTTGGACCTGTTGTCGTCCAAAATATTGGACCAGATAGAGGTCATGAGGTCATAGCTTTGGAGTTGTTTCGATGACAAAACTAATTTCATTACAAAATGACAAAATGTACAATGTCGATTTGTACAATACATTTGTAGAATTATTTTAACTTCAAGAAAATACATTTCTCAAATTGTAAAAGTTTGAACGTATATTGGTATTTTGATGTTGATTGATAAATGTTCATGTTCAAATTCTTAAAAGTTCAATTGTCAATCATAAAGGTGGGTTCCCTTATTTTAAATTAGGAAAATGAAAATGCTAATAATTATATGAATAGAAAGTAGAGGTGTTCTAATGACTTGGAAAATTACCAGTTTGTCTCACATGTCCATAATTAATTTATAATTAGCTAAATTACCAGCAGAATTCCAATGAGTGACCGATCAAGAAAAGTAATTTTTTTGTTTATCCAGACTGTACATACATGGAAATTTATGATTGGTTAAAAATTATATGCAATAATAACATAATGATATGATTAAGAATACATGATAATTCATTAGAAACACCAAGTAATCAAGTAGTTTGCTTAATTTGACACTATTAAGCAAGGAAACCCATCTTTAAGTGTAGAATTGTATAAGCTCGATGATAAATTGACGAAGTGTGAAGTGTTCGTTTCAGAAATGTAGTTGTTACGTGTGAGTTCGGCCGAGAGCTCCGGCAATAAAGGAAATTAGTGGGCGGAGCTGACCTTCTATACGGAAATAACTGACTAATGAATGAGAGATTGGCTAAAATTCCCCAAATTTAGGGCTTCGTCCCGAATTTTTTGTCCTATTTTCATGAACGACCAGTGACTGTGTACAAAGTACACCGTACTAGTATTAGTTGAAATTCTGCTGAATCCATCAAAAAATCTGCCCCACCCCATTACTGTGTACTGTGAAAATATTGGCCATGTAGGTGCTTCCTCTTTGACTGACCAGTAACAGTAAGTTATTGGAGATATTTACAGGTCTGAATACTGAATCTTTATCTCAAAATGTGAAATTCTAGTAAAAGAATGTACTACAGGAGAGATTCTAAACTATAATTCATAATTCAATTACCAAGATTAAGATTATGGTTTATGACAATAAGGTTGTTGATACAAGAAAATCAGTTTTAATAACCAAGCTTGCCAAAACATGAATACACAACAATTACACATGGATACGAAATAATAGACAAAAAATAAGTAAGAAAATAAAAAAGGATGTAAATAATTAAATAAGAAAGTAACAAAATAAATAAGTTATTAAGTAAATAAGTAAATAAGTAAATAAGTAAATAAATGAATAAGTAAATAATTAAATAAGAAAGTAAGTAAATAAATAAGTTATTAAGTAAATAAGTATGTAAGTAAATGAATAAATAAGTAAGTAGATAAGTAAGTAAGTAAGTAAATGAATAAATAAGTAACTGAATAAACGCAGGAGAGATGTTCCCTACTTCCTGGGTATGGAATTAGTCCTGGCATAATGTCGGAAGAGGAATGTATGGAGGAATCCACGCTCTCAGTACTGGTGGAATACGACTGTGAAAGGGTTTCCAGATGATACAATGTGGGTAGAGAATTTTGGTATGAGGAAAGAAACATTCTATTATCTCTGTGAGGAAATAAAGCCCTACAGACCCCATTGAGTTGGACCATAAACTCGCCATAGCTGTTTACTGGCTAGCTAGTTCTGCAGAGTTTCGTACGAATGGGGACTTGTTTAGTGTATCTAAATGAACTATGAGTTTACACGACCACATATACTCCAGTAGTATAATTGCTTATAAGTAAATTATACTTTTGTACGACCTCTTGAGGTGAAGTAAAATACTCTTGGAGTATATTTGCTTATATAATAAAAGCGTTTACACGACCACTTTTACTTATGTGAGTATATATACTTATATAAGTAAACGTGGTCGTATAAACGGAGCTTAAGTTAGTAAATAAGTGAATAATTAAATAAGTGAATAATTAAATAAGTAAATAATTAAATAAGTAAATAAGTAAGGAAATAATGAATAATTAAATAATTAAGTAAGTGAGTTAGTAAATAAATAAATAAATAAGTAAATAAATCAGTAAATGAATAATGAAATATGTATGAAATAAATGTATATATATGTAATAAATTTTATATTACAATACAATGTACAGTACAACTTATAAGGCGTCTGGGTGCTTTCCATGGATAGCACTCGGTTACACATTGCAAAAATACATGTGAGCTGTGATTTTAGAGAGACCAAATAAAAAGCGAATAAGCGTCTCTAAAATTTAACTTCAACTTCAAATCACTGCTCATCTATACCTTTACTGGTTGGCATACACATTCTCTATTTTAGAGTCGAAAACCGGGTATTGGCATTTCGCAGATTTATCGACCACCCCGTACACTCTATCAGCATCAAAATTCGGGTTACTTTTTTCAGCTTCGCCTCCTATGTGAGAAGCCATGGGGTCAGCAACAGGACCCTTCATTACAACCCCATACAACAAACTGGCATCGAAATTAGGGTTGGAACTTTCAGGTACACCATCAGCATCAAGTGTATCATGAAGACTAACAAAGTCATCATCGCGAACAGTCCAGTCATATTTTGGTGGTGGTAGGTTATCAATATCATCGTAGTTACCTTCAGCTGGAAATCCCCTTGGTTCTCGGGCTATTGGTCTTGTTGACCCTAAAATTTATATAAATACCATACTTACTCTATTCGAAACACTCAATGGTACTTCTCTTTGGAAGAGTCCACTCTCGATTTTGACATACTTTGAACGAGATTTTGATTAACGGAATTGTCTTGCTTGTATAGATTTTTTTTTATAATATTCCGAAGAAGCAAGACAATCCGTTGAACAAAAGCGCGTCCAAAGTATGGCAAAATTGGAAGTAATAGTTATATTGGAGTGTACTCCTCACACGAGAAGTAATATATAATATTCAAAATATTCAGTAATGCCTTATTTCCAAGGTCCAATTACCCCCTAAATACGCTACTGCCAGTACTTAAATTGTTAATTTACAAGACTAGGCTTATATCCCTTCAATTTTAACAAATCGAATTTCATTTGAATATCATTTGGAGAGGTGCTTAATTTCTACTAAATAACTGGAAATATTTCACGTATTCAAGTATCATAATTTAGGAAGAAAGACATACTTCCTTGTGCAGCATGATTTATAAATAGTTTAGCCCTGTTCGGTGCCAATATTAGCTCTACTACCGACATTCAATAGCGATGGCAGATTTTTAAAATCAGGTGATAAATTACCCTCTATCATCCAGTCCCCCTTTGTCTACGTACAGTTTTGTCGAAAATTTAATGAAAACTTCCGGACTATATCATCGTCATAGACAGGTATAGTCTGGACGTTAGAGACTAGTGCCAAATTAGTGATAAAATAAAGGAAATTGAAACAACCGCAATTTACAAGGAACGTAGCTTTCCTTGGATCCCACTTTAATCAATATTCGATTACAACATAATCGCTTTCCAACAATGCGTCGTTGTTCTCAAGAAATGGGTTCTACATTGCACGCTTTGATTGGTTAAAAATAACATCATTAGAACGGGACGGTGATAGAACATTTGTTAGATGAATAGAGAGGAATTGTTCCCATCTTGTTTACTAGGTGATTATGAAACCTCTTAGCATATACATAGCTAGGGTCCTCTCTACTTTGCAAGTCTGTCTCTATATAATCACATGAAAATGAAAATGATGAAATATTTTAACAACTATATGATATGGTTGCTAACCTCGCTTAGCCCGATCTTTTTTTAGTTTACTATACAGAAACAGCACGGCGATCAAGGTGATAACCAAAACCAAAACAACCACAGCACAGCAGATAGCTATAAGAATGATGTTAAAATTCTTTGGTTGTTTGTGGACATTATTGTTGCTAGAGACTGGTGGCTGACCGGGAGATGAACTAGATGATGATGGTTTATTTACTTGGCGTGAAGATTGTGTCGGTGATGGTGTTTTACCGTTATGAGTTCGTCCCCTTGACCTAGTATCTGAAATTGAATTAGAGATAACTTTATATTAGCAGATCTTAACAGTGCAACGTGTAAATTCATCATAGATATGCAAGTATCATCATTGATGGAGGTCGGCTAGGTTAACGTCTGAATAGCTATCTAAGCTACTAGATAATTGAAATTTTGGTATGCCTCTATCTGTACCAATCTTATGGGTATATCTGGCTGAGTGTTATATCTATTTTTAGTTTAAAGATGGGTTTCCTTATGTTTTATGGGTTTCATAATTGGTGTTTCTAATGAATTATCATGTATTCTTAATCATATCATTATGTTCTTGTTGAATATAATTAATAGTTTTAACCAATGTCCACATATGTACAGTTTGGATAAACAAAAAAAGACTTTTTGACCTTTCTTGATCGGTCACTCATTGGAATTCTGCTGGCAATTGTCTTCTAATTTAGCTAATTATGAATTAATTATGAACATGTGAGACAAACTGGTAATTTTCCAAGTCATTAGAACACCTCTACTTTCTATTCATATAAGTATTAGCATTTTTAGTTGCATAAATGAAAATAAGGGAACCCATCTTTCAGGCAATGACCCTTTTCAGTCCTATGTAATTTAGGGTTCATTATTTATGACCCTCAGTTCCATACATGTATATATAGGGTCCCATCTTTAAGTTATTTTATATAATTATACCATATAGATAAAGACAGATATTAGATTATGTGGACTTTCACTCATACCTACCGTGATTCTCTACTGTGATGTTAAGGGATTTATTATAGCCATCGGGGTGAACACAATACCATTGTACTCTTCCTGGAGAAAGTTCAGCATTAACTTGTAATGTGAGTACGTAACCAGTCTGATGACTAGTGGATTCATTAGAGACACAATGATATTCTCCTTCTTTCACGTCTTTTTCAAATTGACACGTCTGGTTAACGATAAAGTTGTTATTTTTTTTCCACTTAAAACTTTTATAACCAGCATGACAAGTGATATTATAAATTTCTCCTGGTGATACAGTGGTAGAGGAAGCCCCGATAGTCATAGGATCTATAATAATAAAAAAAATACAAATAAATTTTTTATTCGTAAACAAACATTTGAATTTTGTTCTTATTAGTTATTGAAGCTGAATTTAGTTCGAGGTTTGTTATAGTTGTTGGTTCGTTATTTAAGCTGAATTTAGTTCGTGGTTTGTTATAGTTGTTGGTTCGTTATTTAAGCTGAATTTAGTTCGAGGTTTGTTATAGTTATTGGTTCGTTATTCAAGCTGAATTTGGTTCGTGGTTTGTTATAGTTGTTGGTTCGTTATTTAAGCTGAATTTAGTTCGTGGTTTGTTATAGTTGTTGGTTCGTTATTTAAGCTGAATTTAGTTCGTGGTTTGTTATAGTTGTTGGTTCGTTATTTAAGCTGAATTTAGTTCGTGGTTTGTTATAGTTGTTGGTTCGTTTTTCAAGCTGAATTTAGTTCGTGGTTTGTTATAGCTGTTGGTTCTTTATTCAAGCTGAATTTAGTTCGTGGTTTGTTATAGCTGTTGGTTCGTTATTCAAGCTGAATTTAGTTCGTGGTTTGTTATAGCTATTGGTTCGCTATTGAAGCTGAATTTAGTTCGTGGTTTGTTATAGTTGTCGGTTCGTTATTGAAGCTGAATTTGGTTCGTGGTTAGTTATAGTCATTGGTTGATTATTCACGCTGAATTTAGTTCGTGGATTGTTATAGTTGTTGATTCGTTATTCAAGCTGAATTTAGTTCGTGGTTTGTTATAGTTGTTGATTCGTTATTCAATCTGAATTTAGTTCGTGGTTTGTTATAGTTGGTGATTCGTTATTCAAGCTGAATTTAGTTTGTTATAGCTGTTGGTTCGTTATTCAAGCTGAATTTAGTTCGTGGTTTGTTATAGTTGTTAGTTCGTTATTCAAGCTGAATTTGGTTCGTGGTTAGTTATAGTTCTTGGTTCGTTATTGAACCTCAATTTGAAGATTGATGCTATCAGTGTATAAAAACATAAAAAGTTTACAAAATTAGCAATTAAAATAACTTACCTGTTTCACCACCCTGTATCCAGAAAATAAACAGATAATAAACACCAAGATAAAAATACATCATTTTATTGATCTGTTGTCAGCTCCACGATTCAAATATAAATAATGATTATTCTAGTGTCTGTTACAGAAATCAGGAAGATAGCTGTACACTAGGAAGATTTGATTCAAATTAAAAATATTCTGTTGTCAGCTCCACGATTCAAATATAAATAATGATTATTCTAGTGTCTGTTACAGAAATCAGGAAGATAGCTGTACACTAGGAAGATTTGATTCAAATTAAAAATATTGTATCTGATATGACCCACCACAGGAGGGGGGGGGGGAGGTTAGGGGAGGGGCGGGGGTGATGCGGGTGCCCCCCTGCATAATTCCAACAAATTCTCAATTGAAGCTGAAATCAGTCTCTATCAGCTATTAGGCGGAGTAATATAGTATAATTCATTTTAAACTATCTTAATTCAGACCACAGTAAACTAACTCAGGACAATAATGGCTTCATTTAAAATTCAATTTTCATATATAATACATTAGATAATGATAATTCATTCTAAACTATTTCAATTCAGACCACAATAGTGGCAACATTTACAATTCAATTTTCATATATATTACATTAAAAAACGATAACTCATTCTAAACTATTTTAATTCAGACCACAATAGTGGCAACATTTACAATTCAATTTTCATATATATTACATTAAAAAACGATAACTCATTCTAAACTATTTTAATTCAGACCACAATAGTGGCAACATTTACAATTCAATTTTAATATATATTACATTAAAAAACGATAACTCATTCTAAACTATTTTAATTCAGACCACAATAGTGGCAACATTTACAATTCAATTTTCATATATATTACATTAAAAAACGATAACTCATTCTAAACTATTTTAATTCAATTCTACTAAAAAATATTACAATTAAAAGACGTTAAATCATTTTTAACTATCTTAATTCAGACCACAGTAAAATGACTGGGGACAATAATAGCTTTATATTTTACAATTCAATATTACAGGGGCATTCTGCTTTTTCAAGCATAAAATACATCAAACATGTAGAGGAAGATGCCCCTTACCTTTCGGGAAAATTTGAACTTAAAATATCCAAGCGTTAAGTCACAAACAGCTACAAAAGTCTTAATCGGTTACGTAAGTATTTTGAATCCTCCGGGCTCAATTTTAACTGTACTAGTCGATATTTGAATACGAGAAATGAATTCTGATTAGACCATTAATAACGATTGGCAACGATATCACAGACGTAGCCTCCTCCGAAAGTTGCAGGTCCGTAGTTCAAATTTTTTCAACTCAGCAATTCTCAAATTTGATGTTTAAAATGGTTTCTCTGACGCAAGGTCAACGTATAGAATCTATACAAAGGAGATACAAATAATATTACTCATAATAAGCCAAGTTTACACGTTCAAGTTAAAAAGCAGAATAACCCTTTAACATATTATGACGTTAAGGAACGATGCTATAACCCGTCTCAATCTATTTAAGTTCAGACCACAGTTAACTTTCGGGGCAATAATAATATAGAGACACTGGCAAAAATTTTAGAACTTAAGAACGATTACTCATTTTGTAACATTTCAACTTTAGACCACAGAAAAACAAGTTTACCTAAAGATAGCTTGCCAGACAAGATAACATACGCCCACTACCAGCTTTCAGAAATGATAACAAAGTCTTTAGTGTCTTGATAATGGATTGAAAGTGATGTTAAAAATAAGTCAAGGCAAAACCTCACAAACAGTTCATCCAAATTATAATCAAATTCAAACATGAACAATGTCTCATCGCCGTACACACAAGGGCAATAACTCTGAAATATTTCATTGATTTATTGAGATCTCATCAATATATACATGCAAACCAAGTTTCATCAAGATCGGATAAAAACTGTAGCCTCTATCATGCCTACAAGCCAAGTGTGGCGCATTTTACAAAGTCAATGTCAATATCTCTGAAACCGTTTATTCGATTATTACCAATTTCGGAGATGACTGAGATCTCATCAGTACATATACACATACCAAGTTTCATCAAGATTGTATAAAAACAGTAGTCTCTATTGTGCCTACAAGAAATGTGAACGGACGAACGGACCGACGGACCGACGGACAAGTGGTACGGCAATATACGTCCACATTTCCATGTGGGCGTTTAAAAATTAATAATGCATTTATATAAAATTTTAAATGACTTAATTAAAGAAAGATTTACATAATTTTACTTATATATAATAAATAACAACAATAAAATAGAGAATTCTTTAAAATAGAAATTTATTAGAATTAGCGTAGGAACTCTCTGGTACAACTGTAACTTGAGCTGTATCATAAGTGTGACCATCGTCCATTGTCCTATCAAGATCATCGTAGTTACTTTCAGTTGGACCCCTCGGTTCTAGTGGTATAGATGGCACTGAAAGGAATAATGTAACATAACATAACATAACGTAACGTAACGTAACGTAACGTACGTTACGTAACGCAACGCGACACAACGTAATATATTCAGTAATGTCTTATTTCTTATATGCATTGACATTCACGTGACTTTCAATTTTATTAGATGACAACTCAAACTTCAGTTCTAATGATACTGTGATGGATGTTACTCACGATGCAGGTCATCCCCGCCCTTCCTGAACATCCTGTATCCATCCTGTTATTCGGTTTGTCAACTCTGTATCCTCTTCAGAGAGTCCACTGGAACTAGCAGATATATCAACAATATGAGCTATCTGGGTTGACAAACCTTGTCAGAATGTGACATCGGGTGTTCTGGAGAAGAGGTCATTTTCTGCTTGCTAATGACAGCAACCACGGTGCTTATATTGTTAATTTTTACATGACAATACCCCTTTATTTTACTAATAACTTGAATAGGATTCGGAAATTATCATTATCCCACATTTCTATTACACAACAGGAAATGTTTTAGGATGTGTCTCTTAAGTGTTTTTAAATGTTTTCATGTATATCATAGAGATATAGATCGAGTTCAGTCTCTTTATACAGAATGAAAACAACGAAACTTCAGATATTCGTCTGCAATAAAAGTAATAGTAGTAGTATACTCATATCATAAATGACGTCATTATTCTATATGATACAAACCTTGTTTAGCATGATCTTGTTTTCATTGTTTATACATAATACAAACCTTGTTTAGCATGATCTTGTTTTCGTTGTTTATACATAATACAAACCTTGTTTAGCACGATCTTGTTTTCATTGTTTATACATGATACAAACCTTGTTTAGCACGATCTTGTTTTCATTGTTTATACATAATACAAACCTTGTTTAGCATGATCTTGTTTTCGTTGTTTATACATAATACAAACCTTGTTTAGCACGATCTTGTTTTCATTGTTTATACATGATACACACCTTGTTTAGCATGATCTTGTTTTCATTGTTTATACATAATACAAACCTTGTTTAGCACGATCTTGTTTTCGTTTATTATACGTGATACAAACCTTGTTTAGCATGATCTTGTTTTCATTGTTTATACATAATAAAAACCTTGTTTAGCATGATCTTGTTTTCATTGTTTATACATGATACACACCTTGTTTAGCATGATCTTGTTTTCATTGTTTATACATGATACAAACCTTGTTTAGTATGATCTTGTTTTCATTGTTTATACCTGATACAAACATTGTTTAGCACGATCTTGTTTTCATTGTTTATACATGATACAAACCTTGTTTAGCACGATCTTGTTTTCGTTTATTCTACACGATAAAAACCTTGTTTAGCACGATCTTGTTTTCGTTTATTATACACGATAAAACCTTGTTTAGCACGATCTTGTTTTCATTGTTTATACATGATACAAACCTTGTTTAACACGATCTTGTTTTCGTTTATTCTACATGATAAAAACCTTGTTTAGCACGATCTTGTTTTCATTGTTTATACACGATACAAACCTTGTTTAGCACGATCTTGTTTTCGTTTATTCTACATGATACAAACCTTGTTCAGTACGATCTTGTTTTCATTGTTTATACATGATACAAACCTTGTTTAGCACGATCTTGTTTTAGTTTATTATACACGATAAAACCTTGTTTAGCACGATCTTGTTTTCGTTTATTCTACATGATACAAACCTTGTTCAGTACGATCTTGTTTTCATTGTTTATACATAATACAAACCTTGTTTAGCACGACCTTGTTTTCATTGTTTATACATGATACAAACCTTGTTTAGCACGATCTTGTTTTCATTGTTTATACATGATACAAACCTTGTTTAACATGATCTTGTTTTCGTTTATTATACATGATACAAACCTTGTTTAGCACGATCTTGTTTTCATTGTTTATACACGATACAAACCTTGTTTAGCACGATCTTGTTTTCGTTTATTATACACGATAAAACTTTGTTTAGCACGATCTTGTTTTCGTTTATTATACACGATAAAACCTTGTTTAGCACGATCTTGTTTTCGTTTATTATACATGATACAAACCTTGTTTAGCACGATCTTGTTTTCGTTTATTATACATGATATAAACCTTGTTTAGCACGATCTTGTTTTCGTTTATTATACATGATACAAACCTTTTTTAGCACGATCTTGTTTTCGTTTATACAGAAACATCACCAGGAATATGATGTGTATCAAACCCAAAACACTAATGACAGAGATAGCTATTATCATGATGTTAAAATACTTTGTTAGTTTGTCGTCATTATTGGTGCTAGGCTGACCTGGGGGTGAACTAGGGGTTGATGGTTTATTTACAGTCTGAGGACCCTTGCTGGATGATGCTAGTGAGTATGATGGCTGGCCAGCAGTTGAACTGGAGGATGGTGTTTGAGGACCCTTGCTGGATGATGATGCTGTTTGTGGCGCCCCAATGGATGGTGTTTTATATGATTGTGTCGTTTGATTGTTTGATAGTGAATCTGCAAAAGTAACGAGAATTACGAGATATTTGTCAAAAATACAAACCGTGTAGTTAACTGATACTCTTGTATTAGATGCAAGTTCATAAAACTAAAACAATTGTGACATTCGTGATTACCACATTTGAAAATGACTGTAAATGAATATTAAATCGATGATATTTTGAAAAACATGAGAAATCTGTAATCGTTAAGCATATGTCCAGTTGTATCTTGATCTACATTCACATTAGGTGGAATAAATCCATTGAGGGCAATCTAGACCAGTGAGATCTCAATTGAAGACCGTATGCGCCTGTCCGGATGATAACCAGCACCATTTGTAAACTATATCTGAAAGTTACGTTGGTGCACATCAACCCTTGGTCATTTACCTTCAACAGATACAACAGATATATACAGGGCGTTTCGGAATTAGAGCCCTCCAATGGTTTGTGCATTCTTTAACAGTGACAGCGCGAATGGGGTCACAGGCAGCCATTATCTCCCTTGTACAATTGACCAATACCAGGTACTTACCATTAGGTTTAACTTTGATCATAACGGATTCAGATTTAACGGTATTTTGTTCATCAAAATAAATACATGACCACTTGACGGATATTGGCGAACTTTCAATCTTTATGGTTAAATCGATAAAATTAAAGCGTCCTCTCTTTTCCTTCAAACATATATACTCTCTCTTGTTAACATCTGGATCAAAACTACACTGCTCACTAGCAATGTATTTATTGTTTTTCCTTAACGAAAATGTATATGGCGATTTACATGTGATGGTGTAGGCTTTTCCTTGTGATATAGTGGTAGTGTTGGTCCAGATAAATAATGATTGGACAGATTCTATAATAAATATATAAAATACACAATATTAGTAATGGAAGAGATGGTCATTCAACATTCCCAGTTTCAAAGTTACAATCTGGAAGAGTTAGCTGGTCCTTCCTCGCTTACAACACCCACAACTGTCCTTAATCATGGGGCTGAAAAATAGCCTTTAGACAGGTCTCAAGAGCTTGATATCTATAGGTTGACGAATGACCAATGAGACAGTGGCGGCATAGTCGCAGACCTCTCATGGTGCGCTTGAAAGAAAATTTGCGACAAATTGAATTGATATAGTGCAATATGACACTTATTTTTAATAAAAACGTAGAAAAATCATATTTGTTTAAAAGATTGTGGGGTAAAATTGGGGGTGCAAACCATTTATCTGTTCCCCCAACATTTGGACTTTGGACAGTCTTGTCAACCAGAGAGGTCATTGGCTTATTGCTAATAAATATATTAAATATAAATAATATTCATACATAGATAAACTAATAAAACATCGGTAAATCAAATTTGACTGGTTAAAGTATCAGCTTGAAAAATAAAAATCTTAGAAAGACTTGGCTACGGTGATTTGTATACGACATTATTTATTTTTTTAAATTTGAATTAAAAATCTGGAATATAATTATAAGAAATAATCTTCAATTCTAAAAATACAAGTTTTCAATTGAAGATTCTAGTATTATCACCCAGGTGAAAATTCAAGTTTTTTTTTATTAAATGTTATTGAATTATCACCTGGGTGAAAATTAATTTCTACTCGGATGAAAATACAAGTTTTTAATCTAAAATTATTGTTCATAATTATATTCCGGTTTTTTAATTCAAAATTGATGTCGTATACTAACCACCGTACATGGCGTATACTAACCACCGTACATGGCGTATACTAACCACCGTACATGGCGTATACTAACCACCGTACATGGCGTATACTAACCACCGTACATGGCGTATACTAACCACCGTACATGGCGTATATACAGAAACATACATTTTTGTAAATTCCTCTGATACATTTCAACCCAAAATAACAGAAAATTTTTCACATTAAAGAGATTATAAAGTCAAAGAGGTTTTCTAGCTTTGACTTCTATCTTAGACATTCGAATTCTTCGTCCGATTCCTGTGGTTCCTGCAATTCCAGAAAGAGATAACTGAAAATTGTTCACATTAAGTAACAGTAACTCACGTGATTCGCCACCCAGTATCCTTATAATAACCAGATAATAAACACCAAGATACAAATACATCATTTTATTGGTCTGTTGTCAGCACCACGATTCAAATATAAATAATGATTATTATACATGTCTATAACTTACATCTGTAGTATGTGTCATAGTGAAATCATACAATAAAGGAAGACACGATTCAAAGTAGAAATATCTATAGCGGAATCTACAATACTTTCTATACATTTCATTTTATATGGATATTGGGAAATAAGTTTGTTAATACAAGAAAACAAGTTTTAATGGACAAGCTAGCCAACACATGAATACACAACAATTACACTACATAATAGACACAACAAGATGCTGGCCGCCCTTACACACAAACTCCATCTGCCCCCCCCCCCCCCTTTTGGCTCCGCCACTGCTCGCCCCCCTCTTCTAATGTTCCCATATAAATGCGCCACTGAAGCAGCAATGCAATGGCCACCATGGAAAAACTCTTGCCAAGATAAGGGAAGTAACTCTGGTTCTCAAAACCTCGTTCTCCCTCCGTTTTCAGATTTTTGCATGCCCATTTGTGAGTAATTTTTGGTCTAGATTTGGAATTTGATCTTTCCGATTTTGTGTGATTTTCATGCGGAGATATTATTCTGACAGAAAACTGTACAACATTAAACTGACAGAATGTTGAATCATTTTTAAAATATTTACAATCTCCGTGACAGTTCAATGTTGATTAAAGAACGCTAAATCATTTCAAACTATTTTTATTCAGACCACAGTAAAACATCTTATCCCAATTTCACTGAATAGAATGATAACATTACTTGTAAGCGTCATACCAATTTGATGTTTTATGTACTAAAGAACAATAATTAATTTTAAATCATTGTACTTCAGACCACAGTACAAAACACAAGACAATGAATGATAATGAAATAGAAGATAATAATTCATGTATATTCAATTTTAAAATACTATAATCGATTAACATAATTTTACTTAAAAATAATA